CATCGGTGCTGCTACTCACGAACAGCACTTGCTCCAACAGACTGTGTTTGTATATGTTATGTAAATGTTGCGTATTTGATGTTCATTTTGTACGTGTACGTTTTGCGTATGTTTGTGCGCGCGTGTAATTATGAGGTTGAGCAGAATGGTGGGTCATGATCATCAGCCATGCTCTGTCTGCTGCCGCATGGAGATCAATGTGATGATGTGTCCAACCTCTCTAATCCTCGTGTCTCTCTCTATCTCCCTCTCTCTCTCTCTCTGTCAGCGTCATTTCCAGCGTGCAGGTCTCTCTCCATGCTTCTTTGCGCAACTCTTTTCAGCGTTTTGTTCCATTTCCTTTTGTCAGTGTCCGCGCGTCTGATCCGCGTGTCATAACAAGTGCTCATTTAAACGACAGCAAAAAAAGCGAAAAGAACTCTCTCTTCAGGCAAACGTGGTGCGGTCCGCATGCGGTCCCTATCGTCGTCATTTTCCGTGTATTCCAAAAGTAATCGAACCTGTTTACGCTCCCCTCTCGGCGTCTCATCCCGGTACGCCCATCAATAGCGTCCCTGAGTCGGCGTGTACCTCTCTGCCATCTATCACCTGTGCCGTATCTCGGTTAGTACTCTTGGTTCTTTCGGTAAAGTCACGTAGGTAAAAAAATGAAATACAAATTAATAAAAATAAAACAATAAAATCACGACGTTTCGGAGGCAACACAAGATTCCGTCTTCAGGTGAAACGGTCACAGCAAAATATCTGTATATCCCACTTGATACAGATATTTTGCTGTGACCGTTTCACCTGAAGACGGAAGCTTGTGTTGCCTCCGAAACGTCGTGATTTTATTGTTTTATTTTTTATTAATTTTAATTTCATTTTTTTACCTACGTGACTTTACCGAAAGAACTAAGAGTATGAATACTTGCAGTCACGAAAGCTTCAAATCTAGAATCTCGGTTAGTCTCAAGTTTGTCAACGACCGTGCCACCACCTGGGTCTGCCCCGTGACCTCCCGCCGCCAGCAGTAGCTATCCTTCCGCACTCCCACGTGGCGGCCTCAAAGTGCACCTAGCTTGGCACAGGGCGCCGTGGTGACGTCGCGCCGTCAAAGTGAAGCAGATGTTTTCTTGTTCATGTTCATGTGTTTTGTTTGTTGCGGTTGCACCCGATTCAAGAGCCGAATGGCTCACAGGGCTATACCAAATAAATTAACTTGAACTTGAAGCGGTGATTGGTGGTTGTTGTTGTTGTTGTTTTTTGTGAGTGTATGATGGTGTTGATTGTGAACAACCTCGAGCGGTGGTCCTTAACCCGCAAATGCCAGATGCCCTTTCTGAAAACCGACGTGGTGCAGGCTGCGGTAAACATGAATAAACACTGACCCAGAGGGACAGATAGCTACAGATAACATACTGTCATCTTATACGTCGATGGATAGATTACACTGGTCAACAAAAAAAAAACATTTTTTTCTGGCCTGGACTTTTGCAGCTGTTTTAGACTAATTTCAGGGTGCTGATTCCAAATCTGATCTCAGATTTTCTTTATCACATCTCATTTTTATGCTACCGGCATACCCAATTTTAATTGATTTTACCCTAAATTAACTCTGTCACTTATGATTGCAAGTTGTTGCGAGTCAGTGACTGCTTTAGTGTTAAAATATGGTGCTGTATTTTTAGGATAGCGTGTTTATAATATCATTTTATGTAGATATCCACATTTATTTAATATTTTTCTTCTGCAGTTTTTATTGAAAATGCAATATTTGATATCTTTGATGCCAGATTTGGAATCAGCACCCCAAAATTACCTTAAAACCGTTGGAATACCTTATGCCAGAAAAAGTGTGTTGACCAGTGTAAGTGAAGCAGTCTTATTGTCTGTGTATTAGTTTGTGTTCTACCTACCTACATACTCCACAGCAACACAAATTATCATATTAAACTGCGATGTGTATGATAATTGTTTTTTTACCCTTCTATCTGACGCCAAAAGGCGTTATCTGGTCCAACCCATGTGAGACTAAGCTCTAAGGAAAGCTGTCTCGGGTGTGGACCAATCAACTTCAAGGACAGTGCACATTATCAGAGTTATGTTTTTTGTTTGCATTATGACTGCAGATATTGTGGTCTATGCAAACATGACTCCTCGTAAAAAAGGTGTCAGTTTTGTTGCCAGATAGAAGGGTAAAAAAACTATTATCATATTTTTTTACTGGCAAATGAGGTTCCATTGGTGCGATGTGTATTGTTACGGAGGGTCCACGTCTAACAGAGAGGTGTCAGTTGCCTATAAACATCTGGGCAGTTCAGCGTTAAGGGAGCCCGACTGCTGCTGCTGATGAGGCACTGAATGTCGAAACCAATCCAGGGTTTTGCTCGTATTGAACCAATGCTGCTGAATACTCTTAGTTCTTTCGGTAAAGTCACGTAGGTAAAAAATGAAATTAAAATTAATAAAAATTTAAATAATAAAAATCACGACGTTTCGGAGGCAACACAAGTCTCCGTCATCAGGTGGGACCGTCATAGCCAGATTTGCTGTATAACTTGATACACTTGATACAGCAAATCTGGCTGTGACGGTCCCACCTGATGACGGAGACTTGTGTTGCCTCCGAAACGTCGTGATTTTTATTTTTTTATTTTTATTAATTTTTATTTCATTTTTTACCTACGTGACTTTACCGAAAGAACTAAGAGTATGAATTCTTGCAGTCACGAAAGCTTCAAATCTAGAATGCTGCTGAAATTACGGACTCTCATACTGAGGTCCCGTGCGGCTAATGGGATGGGTCGCAAATATCGATTTTTTTTTTTTCGTAGACGCTCGGAAGCCGATGCAGAATCAGAATATTCAACACGTTGGCTTTCGCGATTGATATGATCAATGATCGAGGTTTGTGAGTTAGATCGAGCCATTAACAACTCAGAAAAATCTTGTAAATATAATTCGCGATAGTAAGTTGAATCCGAATGACATCCTGGTAAGTTTTGATGTGACTTCTCTGTTCACGAGGGTTCCGGGAAACGAGTCAATAAAATGTCTCGATACATACGCGATCTAACCCAGAAAAACCTCTTATGGATCCTGATATTTACGTGTACTGGAGGAATCCGATGAGCTATGAAGCTCTTTTCTTCACAAATGCCCAGCTGGGGCACGGGGTCAGAACGTCGCAAACAATAGCAAAACCAACGATCGCAGTGCAAAATGTCGGAGAGATAAACACTCACAAGCAACAAAAACTGCACTGTTTTTTTTTATTTTGCCAGATAAAGCCCACCGAGCTGTTAGCTGCTTTATCAGAAGCGACCTGGCCACAAATGACAGCTCAACGAAGTGGCTTACCACGTGGAAATGTGCAGCAAATACTTTTAATAATCACAAACGCATGCTTCTAAACGCCGAGGAGGCGTACAACCTGCCCGCTTGTTTAACAACACAAACCGGGTTCGACTCCTGACCACGGCTCACGCTTAGCTCAGACACCTCGGGTATAAATTCGCTTGCGAATTGTATGCACCACGTGATATTATCCATCCCCCCCACCCCCTGTATCCCGTAAGCACGTGCATTACCTAGCCACCAATTCAAGACGGAGCCTTGGTAATGAAGTGCTTAGCACGTCACGCACGAGTGGATGGTGATGGAGTGGTGCAGGAGATGAAGATGGTTGTGCTGATGGTAATGGTCGTGAGTGATTTTGGGGGGTTTCTTTTGGAGGTGTCAGCGGCTGGCGCGCTGCACTACGAAGCCGGCGAGCCGAGTTCGATTCCCGCTCACGGCCCAACGCCAGTGACGATTATCTGAACCGGTCCTGGGCCACCCCTAGATCGACTCGGCCTCAAATGAGTACCTGGTGCGGTGTGTAATAACATCGCCACTGGGGAGACAAAGGCGGCCGGGCGTGGTGTTGGCCACCCACCCCCTCGTGTGCCGTGCCGGCCTTCATAGGTGCTACTCGCTAACAGCACTTGCCCAAATAGTCGGTCAAGGCTATCCGGGGGATTTTTGTCTTGGGTGATTTGTGTGGAGCGCGGTGGTGCAGCGGTTGGCACTCCGCGTGCTGCGAGCCGAGTTCGATTCCCGCTCGCGGCCGACAACAGCAGTGACAATTATCTGAACCGGCCTCCCCGAGGTCGACTCAGCCTCAAACGAATGCCTGGTGCGGTGTGTAAAGATCAGCACCTGGGGAGATCGTGCGCGCGGTGTGTGTGTGCGATGTGTGTGTGTGTGCGATGTGTGTGTGTGCTGTGTGTGTGCGGTGTGTGCGATGTGTGTGTGTGTGCGATGTTTGTGTGCGATGTGTGTGTGCGGTGTGTGTGTGCTGTGTGTGTGTGCGATGTGTGTGTGTGCGATGTGTGGGTGTGTGTGCGATGTGTGTGTGTGCGATGTGTTTGTGTGTGTGTGCGATGTGTGTGTGTGCGATGTGTGTGTGTGTGCGGTGTGTGTGTGTGTGCGATGTGTGCGATGTGTGTGTGTGCGATGTGTGTATGTGTATGCGATGTTTGTGTGCGTGGGTGCGATGTGTGTGTGCGTTGTGTGTGTGCTGTGTGTGTGTGCGATGTGTGTGTGTGTGCGGTGTGTGTGCGATGTGTTTGTGTGTGTGCGCGATGTGTGTGGGTGTGTGTGCGATGTGTGTGTGTGTGCGCGTGTCCGAAAGAAGTGAGGGATGGAGCAAGGGTGGATGATTGGAGAGATGGATGCGTCGATGAAGAGTTGAGGGAGATCGAGAGGGGGGTAGGAGAGAGCCGGGGGAGGGAGGAGGGGAGAGGAGGAGTGAGGACGAGGAGGAGGAGGGAAATTTGGGAGGGAGGGATGTATGAATGGAGAAAGGGGGTTGGGGAGGAAAGTCGGGAGGGTAATGGAGGGAGGGAGGAGTGCGGAGGGCGAGAGGAGGGGGGGAGCTATGGGTGGATGCGCCTCTGAGTGGCTGGGTGGTAGTGGTGGTGGTGGGGAGAGAGAAGGGGACGCGGTTCTTTTTCTTCACTTCTCACTGAACGCAACCCGAGGGTCGCAAGCAACCAGTGCGGTCGACTAAAGTTCCCGTTGCAACCGCGTGCGTGCGCAACTCCCTTAGCCACGCACAGACACACACACAGCCGTATTTTATAGACACAGTCGTACAGACGCACAGTTTGCTCATATACACGTGTAGACGCAGATGCGCAGTCGCGTACGCACATACATCGACATGCATATATAGAAACACACGCACGTGTATTTATAGACACGCAAATACAAAGATGCCCCGTGTAGTCTTCTCATACCGTGAGTGAGCAACTATTAAGTGCAGAAGAAGAAGGGGGGCACAAGGGGGAGGTGGGTGGCCAACACCGCGACCGGCCGCCTTTGTCTCCCCAGTGCTGATGTATGTGCACACCGCGCTAGGTACTCGTTTAAGGCTGAATCGACCCAGAGGGGAGGCATCCGGACAGGTATAAGCACGCACACACACACATACACACAGACATACACACATACACACACACATGCGCATACACACGCACGCACGCACACATGCGCATACATACACACAGCCACTTACACACATAGAGAGACATACACACAGACTAGCGCAGACACGCACACAGCCACGCAACAGTGAGCACACTTAGCACCCACTCATGCACACACTCACGTCCGTGCCAACGCAAGCACTCAGACGAGAACACGTGTTAGCACACACACTCACACGCACACTCACACACACTGGCACGCACTCACACGCAGACTGACACGCTCACACACTGACACACACTCACAGAGTGACACGCACTCACACAGTGACACACACGCTCACGCACAGACTCACACTGTCATGCACCGACACGCTCACACACACCGACACGCTCACACACTGTCACACACTCACAGAGTGACACGCACTCACACGCTCAAGCACACACTCACACTGTCACGCACCGACACACTCACACACGCAGACACGCTCACACACTGTCACACACTCACAGAGTGACACGCACTCACACGCTCACGCACACACGCACACTGTCACGCACCGACACGCTCACACACGCAGACACGCTCACACGCACACTGACACGCTCACACGCACACTGACACATTCACACGCTCACACGCGCACTGACACATCCACACGCTGACACGCTCACGCATTGACGGACTGACAATCACATGAACACACTGACACTCCGATGCGCTCACCAATTGACACACTGATACACTCACCCACTGATATACTGACACACACGCTCACACCCTCATGCATCAACTCACACACATACTTAACACACGTGCTAAACAAACATTGTTGACCACGTCTAAGTGTGTCAGTGGCGATGTTGTCATGCGTACGCGCGCGTGTGTGTGAGTGATTAGACTGTGGGGAGCGGTGGCGCAGCGGTTAGCGCGCTGCACTACGAAGCCGGCGGCCCGAGTTCGATTCCCGCTCACGGCCCAACACCGGTCGTGGGCCTCCCCTAGGTCGACTCAGCCTCAAACGAGTACCCTGGTGCGGTGCGTAAACATCGCCGCTGGGGCGGCAGGGCGTGGTTGCCGTTCACCCAACCCCCACGTGTGCCCAACCCTGGCGGCCTTCAAAGGTTCTGCTCGCTCGCCACACCACTGGCACCAACAGTCTGTTTCAGGCGATACGGGGGGGAAGGGGGGAGATTTTTGGCTTTGTGTCATTAGACTGTCGAGCCGAGACGCGATATCTGATACCACACAAAGTGGGATCTGTAAATACAATAATCCCCGTGTGTGTTAGGTGACTCACACACACACACGCACAAAGACACAAAGATCCCCCATATAGCCCTAACAGACTGTTGGGGCAAGTGCTGTTAGCGAGCACATTTGAAGGCCGGCACTGTGGCACACGAGGGGGTGGGTGGACTAGCACCACGCCCGACCGCCTTTGTCTCCCCAGTGGCGATGTTTACACACTGCACCGGGTACTCATTTGAGGCTGAGTCGAGGACCGGTTCGGATAATCGTCTTCGGTGTTGGCTGTGAGCGGGGAATCGAACTCGGGTGGCCGGATTCTCCGTGCAGCGCGCTAACCGCTACACCACCGCTACCCCACCACACACGCGCACATGTACACACACAAAAAAGACCTCCTCTAAACCCTTAAGCCGTAACAGACTGTTAGCGAGCACCTCTTAAGGCCGGAATGGCACGCGAGGGAGGTGTAGGGTAGGTGGCCGCCTTTGTCTCCCTAGTGGCGGTGTTTACACACCGCACCAGGTACTTATTTGAGGCTGAGTTGACCTACAAATACACACCCGTAAACACCTCCCACCAGTGCCGGATTAAGCTGGTGCAGGGCCTGTAGCATATGTTATAAAGGGGCCCTAAATAAATAAATAAAACACGTAAATATTAAAACACAAATTTTTACATAGTAATGTAATTGTATTTTTGCATTTGCTATACAGCCAGATAATACTACAAATCGCTAACCTTAAACACCCAGTCGTCCATCAAAGTCGAAGGCAGTATAGTACTATAGTAATAGAGCAAGTGCAGAATCACTGAACCGGAATTGATAGCTTGAAAGTATTTAGCGCGGGGCCCTTGAAAGTGCGGGGCCCGTAGCTACTACATATGTGTAGTAGCTACTACATATGTATTAGCTACTACACATATGTAGTAGCTATTACATGTAGCTACTACATATGTAATAGCTACTACACATATGTAGTAGCTATTACATGTAGCTACTACATATGTAGTAGCTACTTTTGCTACGAGGATAATCCGGAACTGCCTCCCACCCACGCACACACCACCCGAGTGTAAGCGTGGGTGGAGTGATCCATCCCCCAGATCTTCTTGATGTAGTCAATATCACCGCTATCGTTGCTGATGACGGAGGTTGCAGCAATCGTCAACTGAAGTGGTCGTGTTGTCATTGCCGTCTCGTTGCTGGTGATTGTTGTAGCCGACGTCACCCCCATCCTGCTGTTGGTAGTGGCTCTGGGACACCATCAGCCTCCAATCAACATCCTCGCTGTCCTCATCCCCGCTTCTATTTGTATTCCCGACAGCAGCTGGGGGGGAGGGGGGGGTGAGCAGAAGTCACCACCACCAGCAGCAGCAGCTAACCTCTCAACCAACATCTCAACCAACGTCTCAACCAACATCTCAACCAATCTCCTAACCAACCTCTCAACCAATCACCTAACCAACCAAGCGAACCGATAAACGAATCTCCCACCCAACCCACCTCCCCACCGATCAACCTCTCAACCAACCAAGCGAATCGATCAACTAATCTCCCAACCCACCTCCCCACCGATCAACCTCTCAACCGACCTCTCAACCAACCAACTCGTCAACCAACCGCTCGACCTCCATCGATCCTCAACCCCCCCCCCCCCCACGCACGCATCGACCATGCCGGGCTTCGACAAGAACTCCACGTTCATCCCGCCCACCTACAACGCCACCTCGAGTGCCGTCGTCTTCACGGTCGGCGTCTCGGGCAACATAATCGCGTTGGCGCTACTCCTCTCGGCGCGCCGCGCCACCAAGCGCACCGCCTTCTACGCCCTTGTCTTCGGCCTGACGCTCACCGACCTCCTGGGTTCGTCGCTCACGGGGCCCGTGCCCCTCACCGCCTACGCGCACAACAAGACAGTGGTGGCTCTGGGCGGGCACGCTCTGTGCGGCTACCTCAGCTTCATGCTGCTCTTCTTCGGCGTCGCCACGCTCGCCATCCTCTGCGCGATGGCCATCGAGCGCTACCTCTCCATCGGTCACCCGTACCTGTACGAGCGCGTGGTGCGGCGCGCGTCCGCGTGGACGGCGATCCGCGTCTCCTACCTGCTCAGCCTGGCGCTCTGCCTGCCCCCCCTGCTGGGCTTCGGGCAGGTGAAGCTCTACGAGCCGGGCACGTGGTGCTACGTGGACATGAAGGCGAGCGGCGGCTGGGACGCTGCCTACTCGGTGCTCTACGCGGCAATCCTCGCCGCGCTCTGCCTCACCATCATCGTGTGCAACGCGTCGGTGATGCACGGACTCCTGAAGATGATGAACAGGAAGAGGAAGCGGAGCCTCCACGCGGCACCTGCTTGCGGCAACGCCGCGCCGCGCTTTTTGAAGCAGCAGCAGCAGAATCATCAGCATCAGCAGCAGCAGAATGAGAATGATGAGGACGAGAGCCATCAGGTGGGACGGCACGTGGCGGTGGCGGCGCGGGTCTCGTCGAGCCGCAGGAGGATCCTGCGTGGCGAGGAGGCGAACAACCTCGTGCTGCTCGTGCTCATCACCATCACGTCGCTCACCTGCACCATCCCGCTCACGGTAAACGTGTCGGACGCTGCTGCGCTTGCGCTGTGGTGGCGAGCCACGGCGGTCGTCTTGGTGGTGGTGTCGGTGGTGGTGGTGGTGTCGGTGGTGGTGGTATCGGTGGTGGTGGTGTCGGTGGTGGTGGCGTCACTGGTGGTGGCGTCAATGGTGGTGGTGATGTCACTGGTGGTGATGTCAATGGTGGTGGTGATGTCACTGGTGGTGATGTCAATGGTGGTGGTGATGTCACTGGTGGTGATGTCACTGTTGGTGGTGATGTCACTGATGGTGGTGTCAATGGTGGTGGTGATGTCACTGGTGGTGATGTCAATGGTGGTGGTGATGTCACTGGTGGTGATGTCAATGGTGGTGGTGATGTCAATGGTGGTGATGTCACTGGTGGTGGTGATGTCACTGGTGGTGATGTCAATGGTGGTGGTGATGTCACTGGTGGTGATGTCAATGGTGGTGGTGATGTCAATGGTGGTGATGTCACTGGTGGTGGTGATGTCACTGATGGTGGTGATGTCAATGGTGGTGGCGTCAATGGTGGTGGTGATGTCACTGGTGGTGGTGATGTCACTCGTGGTGATGTCACTGTTGGTGGTGATGTCACTGGTGGTGGTGTTGATGTCACTGTTGGTGTCGCTGGTGGCGTCACTGGTGGTGGTGATATCACTGCCAGTGATGGTCACTGGTGGCGGTGTCACTGTTGGTGATGATAACTGGTGACGTCACTGGGGGTGACGTCACTGGTGGTGATGGTAATTGGTGACGGTGTCACTGTTGGTGATGATAACTGGTAATGTCACTGGTAGTGACCTCACTGGTGGTGATGATAACTGGTGGTGACCTCACTGGTGGTGACGTCACTGGTGGTGACGGTAATTGGTGGTGTCACTAGTGGTGACGTCACTGGTGGTAATGGCACCCAGTGACGATTACTCTGAGCCCAGCCTCAACCGAGCACCCGGTGCGGTGTGGCAGAGTATCTCCCACTGGGGAGACAAAGGCGGCCGGGCGTGGTCTCAGCCCCCCACCCTCCCTCCCTCCTCTGCCCCCCACGTCGTGTTCCCATGCCGCCCTTCGTCGGTGCCACTCGCTCACTAACAGCACGTGACCCCGACGTCTGCACAGGCTGCACGGAGGATCTTTTGGTATGGGGAGTGGTGGCGCAGCGGTGAGCGCGCTGCCCCTGCGAACCCGGCGGCCCGAGTTCGATTCCCGCTCGCCGCCTCCAACACCCGGTGATAATTATCTGCACCGGTCCTGGGCCTCCCCTAGGTCGACTCAGCCTCAAATGAGTACCGGGTGCGGCGTGTAAACATCGCCACTGGGGAAACGAAGGCGGACGAGCTTGGCTTTGGTCACCCCCCCCCACCCTCGTGTGCTCATGCGGGACTTGCCCCAACAGTCTGCTCACGCTATACGGGGGAATTTTGTCTTTATTTTTGTGGGTTCCGGCCTTCATAGGTGCTACTCGCTGACAGCACTTGCCTCGACAGTCGGTTAATCATATACGGGACATCTTTGCCTTTGGTGGTTGGTGATTTCGTGATGATGGCGACGACGACGACGATGATTATTTCGTTGGTTTCCTCCAGGAGAGTCTCAATCAGTTTTGGTGACTATTCAAGGAGGGTCTTGTCACGTCTTCGTCGTCGGGGGGTGGGGGTGGAGGGGGTGGAGGGGGCAGGAGGGGGCAGGAGGATGGGGATTGCTATCGATCTGTCGTGATTATAATGACAATTATCGCTGTCACCATCAGCGAACACATCGTGAGCATTGTCATCAGCTAAATAAGATAAATCAATTAATCATTATGACGCGAATCGATTGATCATAGCCTACGTCATCTGTCCGTCGACATAATCGATTCTTCATCGGAATCGTCGGAGTCGAATCGTCATAATTCATTCATCAACATCAGCACCACTACCCTCATCAGCAGCAGCAAATCAATTGATTCATCGTCATCGATTCATCCTCACGAGGGTGCCACAGGCCGCTCTTTCCCGGCTGCATCGCCACACCTCACCGGATCACAGTTATCGAAAAGCTGATGTCACAGATACTGCGCTAAGCAGAAGGGTCGTTACCCGAAACGTTGCCTATTACATGTGTTCACGTTTAAGGCCACACACAAAGTGTTATTGATGCGCAACGTGTTGATTTGGTTTCATATTATTATGGTATGTATATATATTTCATTTCTTTTACCAGGTAAGGTCCACTAAGCTGTGTAGCCCTTTTTCAGAAGCGACCTGGCAGTCACAAATGAAAGCTCAGCGAAGTGGCTCACGATCATCGTGTGGAAATTCGTAGCAGCCAAATGCCCTAAACGCGTGACGTTGATTCTGAATGTGGAGGGAAATCCGGAGGACCCGGAGGACAAATCCACTCGACCACGCTGAGAGAAACACCACAAACTCAAAATATACAGCAGGCAGGCGTCAGGGTCGAGATGGAACCTACAACCTCCTGTACACCAGGCGAGGCAGTTAACATCTCACCACGGAGAGAGAGACACGCAAACTCAAAATATACAGCAGGCGTCAGGGTCGGGGTGGAACCCACGACCTCCTGTACACCAGGCGAGGCAGTTAACATCTCACCACGGAGAGAGAGAAACACCACAAACTCAAAATATACAGCAGGCGTCAGGGTCGGGATGGAACCCACGACCTCCTGTACACCAGGCGAGGTAGTTAACATCTCACCACGGAGAGAGAGACACGCAAACTCAAAATATACAGCACTCGTCAGGGTCGGGATGGAACCCACGACCTCCTGTAGACCAAGCGAGGTATTTAACATCTCACCACGGAGAGAGAGACACGCAAACTCAAAATATACAGCAGGCGTCAGGGTCGGGATGGAACCCACGACCTCCTGGACACCAGGCGAGGTAGTGCTACGAACTGACGTCTCGTTCGGTGCATCTGCTGCTGCTCTGCGCGGTTGTTGAGGGCCAATGCCCCTCGCCCAGAAGTCGCGATGCCGTCTCCTTGCGATGGGATCGCTGATCCATTTGCCGTGCGGTAAAGCGCCGCTCCCCGCTGGTGCGGCTGGGACTGTCTGTGAGAGGCGCTGATCGTGCGTGCCACCAGGGAAATCGCACGCGACACTTAGAAGTGTCAGGTGCGCGATCACTCACGGGTCAAATGTGACAGCCAGTAAAGTGTGTGTGTGTGAGCAGGGGGGGGGGGGGGGGTGGTGGTGGTGTAGCGGATTGCGCGCTGCGCTACGGACCTGGCGCGTAAATGAGAGATTATCTGAACCGGTTCTGGGCCACCCCCAGGTTAACTCGGCCTCAAATTAGTACCTAGTGCGGTGTGTAAACATGGCCACTAGGGAGACAAAGGCGGTCGAGCGTGGTGTTGGCCACCCACCCCCTCGTGTGCCGTGCTCGATAACAGCACTTGCCCCTACAGTCTGTCCAGGCTATACGGGGGATTTTTGTATTTGTTTGTGTGTGTGTGTCAGTGTGTGCCGGCCTTCATAGGTGCTACTCCCAAACAGCACTTGCCCCAACAGTCTGCTCAGGCTATACGGGGGATCTGTGTCTTTATTTGCGTGTGTTACGGCCATTGTAGGCACTTGCCCCGACAGTCTGCGCGGGCTATCGGGGGGATCTTTGTCTTGTGCGTGTGGCTCGTGCACTCTCAACCCCACTGACCTCAATTCAATTCCCTGCCACGGCTAACATCGGCGGCGAGTGATGCATGACGCAATCCTGGGCGCCCCCATCGCCATGTAACCTACTCACAACCGACGGGTACAGTTTGGTAACATCCGGAGGGCATTCGTCCAGCAGTGGTCCAACAATAATAACATTTTATGAGTTTAGCACGTAGGCTTTCGCGACCAATCACATCCTCGTGAATGTATCGTGACGTTGTTTCATTATCGTATACTGTGGCCGCGTCGTTCATCTTCGTGGCTGCGTATCCTGTCGCTAAAACGGGCACCGCTTTTTGTGGGAGGAATTGACCCCATTGGAGAGCCTGTGGCTCGCCCCGCTCGCCATAGGAACGTGGAATTTTCCACCAGCCGGGGAGATGAGCACCAGCGCACGTTGATGAAGTGGCAGGTCCATAGCTGACAACGCGTACGGTTGAACCCCGTATTATTGTACAGGGAAATTGAGTTTTCAGGTCTATACAGCGTACAGCCGTTGCAATACGCAGCAAAACACATTGTCCATTTGTTTGAGTTTCTCCCTTGTGATGGGACTTTGTAGGATGAACGTTGAGATTTATAAGGGACACGGGGTGACCAACACGATTTGAATTAGTCTGTAATAAGATAGGGGGCACTGATAAGGGGTTGACAAAGTGGCAGGTCTCGCAATAACCCCGAGTGAATTTCCAAAAATATTTTAAATATTTACGGCGCCCAGTAACACGCACGACACTCCGTTCACCATGAGGTCGTCCGGCGCCGAGGTCGGTGATAGAAGGGGGTGCTGAACGTTCAGCAAACGTTCGGCAAACGTTGGGCAAACGTTGGGCTAACGTTCGGCAAATGTTGGGCTAACGTTCGGCAAACGTTGGGCTAACGTTCGGCACACGTTGGGCTAACGTTCGGCACACGTTGGGCTAACGTTCGGAAAACGTTGGGCTAACGTTGGGCACACGTTGGGCTAACGTTCGGCACACGTTGGGCTAACGTTGAGCTAACGTTGGGCTAACGTTCGGCAAACGTTGGGCTGACGTTCGGCAAAACGATATCGGCGTGTGCGGCGTCCCCTAGCGGTACGGTGGTGAGGGCGGCACCGCGTGCTTGAGATTGGATTTCCCTGGGCCAGCGAATCGAGGCCAGGGCACGTGGATTGGAGGTGCAATGCGAACCTCACCGCTGCGCCACGCCGCTCAACCACACTGAGCGAAGCGGCTCTGCTACAAGGAACGGCCACGGCCCAAAGTTCGTCAGCATTGGAGGCAGTTACAGGGCGTTGAGTTACAACATAGAGAGCCATGGAGTTGCATAGGGATCCATATGATTACACAGAG